TTTTTTTTTAATTCTGTCTCTCAGAGTGGGAATGCACCTACAATGTGAATGTCAGACCCCTCCATGATTTCTAAGTGGGAGAACTTGCAAAATCGCAGGGTGTTCAAATACTTCTGTTCCTCACTGTATACTGCAAGAATATATGGTACAGAAAAAGTGTGAAGCAAGGAAAGCAAAGTTTATTTACATAACACTTTTCTAAACAGCAGTTACAAAGTGCTGCACAAAAATAATAAAGGGAGGAGGAAAATTTGTAAAAACACAAAATCAATAGTAAAACAAAACATAGCAACATTCATAAAACAATCACGAGCATAAATATAAAACCCAGATCTTATCTGGAAGTCTCAAACTGCAGTGACATAAAATGTCTGAGAGAATAAGCATGTTTTAATTAGAGTGTGAAATGAAGCCAGGTTAGGGACAGCTCTGATTTAGAAGGGTAGGCTATTCCGAAGTCTAGGGGCTGCTACTGCAAATGCTCTATTACCCCAGTGTTTTAAACCGGATCTAGGCGCTTGCAATAAAAGTTGATTGATCAACCTAAGAGATCTACCAGGGGTGTAGGGAGGCAAGAGCTCTGAAATACAGTATATTATGCAAAGCTTTAAAAGTAAATAACTTTATAACAAGCCTTTGGTTTGGGAAGACAGCACAGGAGTTATACCCATAAGACGACGAGCAGCAGACAAGAAGTGTAGATCCATGGTATACTTACAACATTTGCCTACAAAATCACATGCTATATATGATGTAAATGTAGAAATATGGTTCACTGAAGAGTGAAATAATTAGTGCACTACATAGCGCTTTACTTATTGGTACTTCACTGTACATAAGTTTTTATTTAGTGGTTATCTTCAGAGATAAATCATCACTTTTCTCTTTATATTACGGAGCTATAGTTATTTTTTTGCAAACAGATTATACAAACACATGAAACATGATATAAACTGCTAAAAGTCCTAAAATATCCATGTTTTGACAAACTAAATGCACAGTCCATGCTACTCTCTATTTGCTATTTTCAACCTGTTTTCTCAGACTTCAGTAAACGGCATGAGCACACAAGCATCTCAGTATCTCTGAGTTTGCTTGTTACCATAAGTTACAGCTTTGAATAAGAGCCAGGTTCTTTTGTGTCAAACTACTGCACATATTTCAGGGTTAACAATGAACTTTCATGCTCAAAATCAGTTTTGTTGGGTGAAAATCTTTACACCCAAAGTGCCAGCGTGTTTCCGATTTTCAGTTTTGGGCATTCTCATTTAATTTTGCATCTTAAATGTTGAGATTTTTTTGGAATTAATACATCCATATGTACAACATGCAAATACAAAAGATTTAACACCATTACTTGGGCAATTCCTAATACTTGCAACATTATTAACGTGATTACCTCAAATGCTAGTTCCCAAATGAACAGGACAAGGACTGTGTTGCAGAATAATGACATGTACATTTTTGTTCTTTTATATGTATTCACTATTATTTTCCATTTCCATCTTCCCATCTCTACTCCGGCTTCCTCCCACAGTCCAAACACATGCAGCTTGGGTTGACTGGCAACTCTAAATTGCCCGTAGGAGTGAGTGTGGGTGTGTGTGGTTGTTTGTCTACATGTCAGCCCTGTGATAGACTGGCGACCTGTCCAGGGTGGACCCCGCCTCTCGCCCAGTATCAGCTGGGATTGGCTCCAACTTCCGTGCGGCCCTGTTCGGGATAAACGGTATAGATAATGGATGGATGGATGGAACCCATAATGACACTGATATCAGGTAGATACATGGATGGATTACCTAATGGGCCTGTTGGGCACAATCACAGCGGCCCAAGGATTTTGGGGGGGCCTTGAATAGTCCAGAGCCTCTGTTCAAAAGTCCATCAATTGACTTGGAAAAAAAAAGGATACCAAATAACCAAGAGACACAAACCTACTGCAAAGACATAAAATGACAATAAATAAACATAAGGTTACGCAAAATGGCGGCACAGATAACGCACGGATGGATCTTCCCATCTCTTTAAAATTACTTTCTCTTGTGTTTCCATGCTGTGATCACTGAGTAAATGTAACTCACTGAGTAGCAGCAGCAGGTCCATCACCCATATTCCTGAAAAGCTTGAACACATATTTACATTATACACAAGCAGCATTTGACCACAACAGCCACCACTGCCACTTGTTTGACATCAAATAGGACTTTCTGATGAAAGAAACGGTACCCCTTTTTCAAAAAGCTGTTGTATAAACAGAGTGAAACCTGTGCTCCGTGCGTTCTATTTTCTGAATAAACAGGTGTATATAGCATTTAAACAGAAAACACTAAAAAGTGCAGGAATTATTGAGGCAAAAATGAGCTGGGAAAAACCTGCCAAGAATTTTGGAATAGCTGACTGAAGACAGGTTGTATTTATTCTATTCACTGACTGATTCATTGATGAAGGAGCTGAGCACATTAAGGATTAAAAGGTTAAAACATGAACCAGTAAAATGATGATGAGCTGTTTTAGTCCTGTCAAACAGCAGACTTTGAGTTTTCTCATTTTGCACCATGCGGACGACCCTCATACAGAAAGGAGAGAGAGATTAGATCTCGGCAGTTACAAAAACCAACTGACTGACATGACACAAAACAACAGCCAGAGACAACACCAATAAGTCACGCTCATGAATCCAAAAGGCAAATATGATCAGGTGTTATTTTAAAAGCGATGCAAATCAAGCCAAAGTGATACATGTTGATGGGCTGAACCTTTGGAAGGAGCTGTCACCAATGTTTGTTTTCACCAGCAGGCAGGACAGGAGACGCCGACAGAACATTTCAACCTCCTCTTTTGCATATCTTCAAGTTTTCACGTGTTCATCTCCTCTGAGCCGTGAAGTCAGCTAGCTCCCTAAAGTCTGATTATTGTCCTCACACATGCAGGATGTGTATCTGCCAGATTTGTGCTGAGTATCCTGGATTAACCCCTGCTTATTCACATGGTGGCGGCGTGAGCTGCTGAGAAGCAACATGGTGCTGGTTTGGTGTAACTAGCTTGCAACATGCAGCCCTCTGCGCTCAGCATCGTTTTAACTCCTCATCAGAAGACCAAGTGAGAGACTCCATCTTCAAACCTTGCTGCAATGTAATTACAGATAAAAAGTGAATGCTGAATGTAAAAAACGCTATAAAAACAGGATGCTCACGTGTATCCTCTGTCATGACACCTCCAGGCAGCCACATCGATCCTTGCTCCTTAGAACAGGAGTAAAAGCTCTGGGACAATCCTTAAGATGGTGGACCAGAGCGAGGAATGATAAAAAAAGGGAAGAGGGATATAGTCAGATTATGTGGAAAAAACGCTGGACTTTGACAACACCTACTGTATAATCCATGTACACCCCAGTCTGTCCTGCGACAAAATGCTGCCTAAACACATTAAAATACTGCTTCTGTGTTGTTGCAGTTTAATCTATGAGATTTATATGAAAAGAACCTACTGCTATGCTTTAAATAATAAATAATGATAAGGTTCTTTCTACCAGAGCTCAAATTTTACCTCCTGTTTACGATTTTTCTGTTTCTCGTCCCTGCTCTGCTGTCTTTGACCAGTTTGAGTGTGTGTCCTTATCATATTGTCAGGAGGTGGTTGGGCGACTGAATCCCTCTGGTTCCCCAAATGATGCTGTTCCTCCTCGTTTTTTAAAGGAAATCTTTCCAGTTGTGGGGCCATTTGTTCTCTCCATTATTAATAGCAGTTTATCCTCTGGCCTGGTTCCAAAGATGTTTAAACATGCCGTGGTGCGGCCGCTGATTAAGAGACCTGGTCTGGATCCCACAGTGTTCTCAAATTTTAGGCCCATCTCCAATTTGCCCTTTCTCTCCAAAGTCCTTGAAAAGATAGTTTATGCTCAGTTACTGGCTTTCTTAGATGAGCACAATATTCTTGAGACTTTTCAATCAGGGTTTAAAACCCAGCATAGTACTGAGTCAGCCTTGGTGAAAGTCTTAAATGACATTTTTCTTGCTACTGACTCAGGGAATTGTGTGGTCCTAGTGCTCTTAGATTTGACTGCTGCTTTTGACACAGTGGACCACAATATCCTTATTTCTCGTTTGGAGCACTGGGTGGGTATCCGGGGGATAGCTTTGGAATGGTTTCGATCTTATCTTAAGGATAGATCCTTCTGTGTGAAACTAGGAGATGCTGTATCTTCCTCTGAGCCCCTTGTGTATGGGGTACCACAAGGCTCGGTCCTTGGATCCCTTCTTTTTTCCCTTTACCTTCTCCCACTTGGTACTATACTCAGGAATCACAGTGTTTCCTTTCATTTTTATGCGGATGATTGCCAGCTTTACCTACCGGTTAATAAGATGAGCTCTTCCGTTAGCACACTTCTTGAATGTCTGGATGACATTAAATCTTGGCTTGCTTTTAACTTTTTAAAGCTGAATGAGGATAAGACTGAGGTGATTGTATTCGGTGATTCTGTTGGTTCACCATCTGTTGACTTGGGCTCATTGGCTCATTATAATAAAAAGAATATTTTAAATTTAGGTATTAAGATGGATCCAGATTTAAGATTCGACAGCCAAATTGCAGCTGTCACTAAATCTAGTTTCTTTCACCTCAGACAGTTGGCTAAAGTAAAAGCATTTGTCTCTAGACAGCATTTTGAGACGCTTATTCATGCTTTCATTACTTCCCGTTTGGACTATTGTAACTCATTGTATCTTGGGGTCGGTGAGTCTTCTATCAATCGCCTCCAGATGGTCCAAAATGCAGCAGCGCGTCTTTTAACAGGTACAAGGAAATATGAACATATCTCTCCAGTTTTGGCCTCCCTACACTGGTTACCTGTCCATTTTCGGGTCCATTACAAAATTTTACTCTTTGTTTTTAAATCCCTTCATGGCTCTGCACCATCCTACTTAACTGATTTGCTTCATTGGCATACACCCACACGCTCTCTGAGGTCAGCAAATCAGTTTCTCTTGAGTGTCCCAAGAACGAAGCGTAAGCTTAGAGGCGATCGAGCCTTCGCAGTTGCTGGTCCTAAACTCTGGAATGATTTACCACTGTCCATTAGACAAGCCTCTACCCTGTCTGTTTTTAAGTCTCTTTTAAAAACTCATTTATTTTCCCTGGCATTTTGATATTTTTGTGTTGATTTTAGTCATTTGATTGATTATATTTTACATTGTTGTTTGTGGTTTATAATTTATATTGTTTTATTGCAATGTACAGCACTTTGGTCCACTCTGGTTGTTTTTAGTGCTTTATAAATAAAGTTGGTATGGTATGGTGTGGTAAATAGGGATGAATGACCAGGTCAGTTAGATTTTAGCTTGGCTGTGAAATGTGATTTTGCTTTAAATTCACTTTTCACAGTTTATGTCAGTGATTTGGCTTGAAGAGAATACTAAAAAATCATTTTAGAGTAAAACTGCTCCTCAGTTGCTGCAGTCTGCATTGGTGCAGTGCTAAATATCTGGCTTTTAAAAATATAAAGGTCCCATTATAGTATTGACAGATATTAATCTGTCATATTTGAATCGAACAGCAAAAGCTGATTTTGGAGATGATGAAGGGAAGGTAAACACTTTCATAAAGCTTGAGTTTTAACATCTGCAGCAGAAATGTAGAATAAAGGCTTTTAACACTTGTCATTGTAAAAGCATGTGGTAGATGGCGTTTGCATATTTTGAATACAGATGTTAGAGATGTTTTCCAGCCCTAGAATTCCTCTAGTTTTTTGGTTTCAGAGCAGACCTAGGTGTAGTAGCAGGACTCTCGCCGCTCTCCTACTGAAGGTATCTTTTGCCAGTGCAGACCGTCTCTGTCCTGGGTGTTTTTCCCACAGGTTTGTTGGTCATTTCCTTTTGAGGCAGACTTTGGCACTCAATCACCGCTCGTGTTGATAGACAGCCAGTGGAGCATAGCCAAACAACATGGTTGCAGGTGGTGGTGCTGTGCATGTGAGATCTGAGAAGCCATCTTACTGAAGATGTGATCAAAGTGAAGACCCTGACTCTGGGAATTTTCCCGTCTGCAAATCAACGAGCCAGTTTACCGTGCATGCTAAAATTGATAGGATGATGGCACTGGGATTGTTTTCAAGTCAGATAAAGATCGTGGTCATCCATCAAAATGTTAACACAGTTCTACTCATGTAAGCGTGTAAATAAAGCATCATATCTCCTAAAAAATGGCTCCATTTCAGCTGACTCCTCTATTGGAGCTGCGCCATTTGTTGCCGTTATCTGCCTGGTCACAAGCAACCATTCTTCTTGTCACCTCGGTCATAACTGCCTCAGTGGTGGTTTGTGATGATAGTTTATCATATATAATCCAAATACCTGTATGCCCGTCATGGAAACTACAGTAGCACAAAGACAACTGTGGTTCTGACTTCTGTAGTCGCATCTGTGGATGCAACTTTGCTAGCATGAAACCAAAATAAAGATGTCATCTTTAAACAATTTGCGGGAGATAAAACGATAAAGCTTCTCTTTCTAGCCCGAAGACATTTGCAATTAACATGTTTTAGAGAACCTGAGAGAAGGTTTCATGGAGTTAAACTGAAAACAGCTTCATGGGGCAGAGAGCTGTGGAGTGACAGACTTTTACCACCCAAAGTTGAGGTTTATTATTTTAGCAGCTAATAACAACCCCATAGGCTGGTTTTGGTGATTACACTGAGGTGCCTATTACAACTAGACAAAATGGTTACGTTGTTAAAAATGCATTTAGATAAAGTAACACTTTCTTGATCCCTGGGAAAACAGCAGCACAAGAAGCAGACCAGATGAATATAACACAACCAAGTTCAAATAAGAAAGCTGTACTTTAAATAAGATTACATACAGCATATTCCTTTTTTAACAGCATTTTGATGACTCTATCCTAACATAGTTTTTTATTTGTTTGTCTAGGAATGCATTTCTTGGCAGCCCTGCGATGGATTGGCGACCTGTTCAGGGTGTACCTACCCCCCCCGTGACCCCATTCAGGGACTAAGCGGTAGAAAGTGAATGAATGAATGAATGTATTTCTTGGCAAAAGCCAATGTTACATAAACTGCTGAATTATTGCACAGGTTTCCTACTGCAGTAACAGGGGCTACTGCATTTCAGCCTGCTAGCCAGATTTGTCTTTATTTGGGCTAAATTTGGTTGTCTAAATATTTTTGACCTACAGTACAAATCACCACATCACTACCTGCTGGGCACCTCTAAGTCAGAACAGGACTTTGTATGAAGGTTAAAATACAAAGGAGTTAAATGTGATTTATAGTCTGCACAAGCACCACTTCCAATCAGGAGTGTGAATGAGAGAAAGGTGGCGCACATTTTGAACACATGTTCAGAGAGGATGTGAGATCCCGTGCTGGACTTGGCTGGTGTGCCTGATGTGTGACTGATGGTTTGGTATTTCTAGAGGTAAAAGACATGGAAGTTATTGATGTGTTGGACCTGTTTCGCTGTCCTCTGGTGGCGGGACAATGTAGATGTGCTCGCACCTCGCTCACCCAAATGAAGTTAAAGAAAGGGTTTTTTTCTGCTGGGAGGAGTTAAGGTCAATGGTAAAACTGAAACTGACACGACAGGACAAACATAGACTTCCTGTAAACAGGTTGGCAGTAGATGTTCAGAAGAATTTTACTTTGTTCTTAACATAAAGGCTTAGTTTGTGTATGATGTGTGTGTGTAACAGTACTACTGGTCATTACTGTAAAAGGATAAGGGCAAAGGTCAAGCAAGGTGTCATCAGAACAAGCCTGGAGAGCTTTTCTACTCTCAAGTTATTGTTTAAGACAGGGACACTAACTTTCCCATGACCATGATAAAGATGCTAACACTGACTATTTCTCTCCAATAAAACTCTGAACTTCCCATCACAGTGTGATAACCTGCATTTCTAAGCTCTCTTCTCCTTCATTGGTGGAACGGTCACACCTGAATATATGAGGTGTTTCCAATGGTTTAAGAGTCAGCAAGGTACACTGTCTATCTCGGGGCCTCACACAGCTACACGACCTGGTTATGAGTGAAGGCGAGAGGAAGAGGGGAGACACACCTGCCTCACCCCTGTGTCCAGTAAAGAGGTTATGTTCCAGTGAAAAGTCACCATAAACCTGGACACGGGCACGCAAAGCCTAATCGCCCTGATCCCTAGGTGTCCCATCGTCTCTGAAGTTGCTGCCAAAAAGCTCCCCCTCCCCTCTAGACCCCTGCTATCCACCCCGCTCCCCCACTGAGCTCAGGCCTGCTGGTGTCTTAGCCC